TTTTCATCTATGAACGAAAGATCGTTCATTGGAGCGGAGCCCGAGCGTGAGTGATTTAAACTGGACTTTGGGCGGAGCGTGCGTGATTTAAGCCGGACTCCGAGTGGAGCGTGCGTGATTTAAACTGGACTTCGAGTATATCCATGTCATTTCACAGTGTTCATGCATCTAGGCAGCTCTGTCTAGGTCGGTAATGAATATGGATCTCGTAACAAACGATGAAGCTCCTTCTTTTCTTCAGATAAAAGGCGATGACAATAGTATTTTAAATGAACTGAACACATACCGACAATCAGGAATATTATGCGACGTTAAATTGAAAGTGGATGGCCAAAGTTTTCCAGCGCATAAAGCAGTTCTGGCGGCTAATAGCCGGTTCTTTTTTGCCATGTTCACAACGGAAATGCTGGAAAAGGATAAAACTAGTGCAAGTGTAAGCACTATTACCGCTACTGCGATGGAAAGCTTATTAGATTTCATGTACACGGGACAGATTCAAATCCACGTCCAAAATGTGTTCGAATTGCTAGAAGCATCAAGTTATCTATTGGTGGAAAAGGTAAAAGAAGCGTGTTGTCGATTCCTACAGCGTATACTGGACATGGAAAACTGTCTTATGGTTCTTTCTATGGCCGACACTTTCTCGTGCAGTGGTCTAATTCAAACAGTCACTCAATACGTGAATCGAGAGTTTAGTGAAGTTGCCAAGACGGAATCATTTCTGAAGCTATCTAAAGAAGAGATTATCAAGTTCCTATCCAGCGATGATATATCGATTGAAAATGAAGACCAACTTCTTGAAATCGTCATCCATTGGATAAGCTACGATCCGGAAGTGAGGAAAGACTTTTGTGGTGAGTTATTGAAGTTAGTTCGACTACCTTTCGTTTCTTTGTCACAACTGCATGACTTACGACATGAAAAAGAATTGAATGATTTGATTATCCCAAGACTCGTGCCAACGTCCAAAGGAGCCACATATGCGAACGTAGCTGGCGAAATTACTGCGAGAAAGTCATGCCGAAGCATGGAAGTGATTGTGGTTGCTGGTGGATGCGATAATTCAGCAATCTTGAACAGTGTCTGTTGCTTTGTTCCAGTTGTTGGCAAGTGGGTGAAATTGTCGGCCATGAAACTGCCACGATGGAGGTAACATAAGACTTTTGTTTTGACGGTTACGACTGAACTTACTAAAAAACATTTAGCGGGCTCTGTGTATCATGAACAGTTAGATGCTTATTACGCAAGGCCTACTCTGGGGCCTTAAGTCGCCGTAACTTTGGGCGACTTTGGGTGATTTAAGGCGACTGAAGGCGACTTGACCAAAATTGGCAGAAATTAAAAACATTGCGACTTTAAGGGATTTAAAGGCAATTTAAAGCGACTTAAGGCGACTTAAGGCGACTTAAAGCGACTTTATTTGACTGAAGTGATAAAATAAAAGTTAGCAACAGTCTCTCCATAAATCTCAAAAATATTTACAGAATCCCTTGCAATATACACAATATGATTAGAGTGGGGTAAATGGGGTCAATGAATGAATTGCCAGTAACAAGATCCCTGCGTTTGGGCAAAGATTTCTGGGATCGCCACGAGGCAAACGTTGCAGCCGGCTAGAAAGAAATGTATGGCGAAAGGTAGTTACGATGTTCAAAAGAACGATTTTTGAGAGAGATCAACGCTTTTTCCACGCAGTTTTATCATAGATGGATTAAGATAATTTTAATACAAGGTAGATATAAGTTTTGGTGGGAATTACCTCGAAATATGTTGTAAGATATACCGATAAACTTCTCTCCTTGCGTAAGGTCTATTATGAAATCCTCATCGAGTAATGGTCTCCACGTATTAGAAAATTAGCCATAAATCGCTAGGAAACAACTCATTTACGTCTCATGAGCTATATCTATGTGTGTAGAGCCTGTCTTGATACTTGTCGACGTATTAAATAAACAACTTACGACGTCTGAAAATATATCTCCTCAAGGGAGAGAGAGAAGTCGTTGTCGGCGTGATGAAAGTGTTTTTTTTTTTTTTTTAACCGAGCTGTTGCTGTCTGAAACGATGGAATAAGCGATGTAAACATGAGGAAACCCCTGGGTAAAGCGATAGTTTGTTTGAGAAAAATCCAAACGTTTTTGAGCTGCCACTTTTCTCCTCGAGCTCTGGGAAGATCTGTCGATACTACTAACTCTGGTCGATAAAAGCTTGATCACGGAAACTCTGACAGAAACTGTAGACATACAATATATTCATCGTTTTAGAGAGCAACAGTTTAGTTTAAAAAAAAAAAAACACCTTCCTCACGCCGACAATGACTTCTCCCCCTTGAGGAGATATATTTTCAGAAGTCGTAAGTTGTTTATTTAATATGTCGACGAGTATCAAGACAGGCTCTACATACATAAATATAGCTTATAAGCCGTAAATGAGTTGTTTCTTAGCGATTTATGACTAATTTTCTAATACGTCGACACCAGTACGAGATGACGATTTCACAATAGACTTTACTCAAGGAAAGAAGTTTATCGGTATATCTTACAACATATTTTGGGGTAATTCCTACTAAAATTATTTTAATCCATCTATGATAAAACTGTGGGGAAAAAACGTTGATCTCTCTCAAAAATCGTTTTTATTTTTACATCGTAACTGCCTTTCGCCATACATTTCTTTCTAGCCGGCTGCAACGTCTGCCCCGTGGCGATCCCAGAAATCTTTGTGCAAACGCAGGGATCCGGTTACTTGCAGCTTATTCATTGGGAAGGGTGGAACCCTTATAACATTGGGTGACCAATAGCGACTTAAGGCAACTTAGGGTGACTTAAGGCGACTTAAGGCAACTTAGGGTGACTTAAGGCGACTTAAGGCAACTTACTGAAGAGCGAATGTTCATGGTCAAACATTTGGTGGCAACAGATGAAAAATCAATTTCGCCCATATTTCAAAGTGAAGTAGGTCTCAAAGGGAAATAAACCACTGCATACTTCGTTTGCTGAATATCGATTTATGTGCGAGAAAATCGATAACAACTGAATTCCGCCAAAATGTGACTTTTGAGGCTCAAAATTTCAGACGCATCTCGGAGCGCCGCGTCACAAAATGAAAAAACCTGGATTGATGAAAAGTACCAAATCTTGAAATACAACATCAAAACATATGTTGATTGCAATTTGAGCAATTCTTGACCATTTCTTTACACAATTTAATTGAATTTATCCGACCTAATTCCAACTAGATTAAAAATAAGTCAAAAGTAGCCCGTGATTTAACTATGTGCAATACAAAATAATTAACCGGAAATCTGGTTTTCGGAAGGCGGAAGGTAGTTCCTTTGGATCTCAAAAGGATTTTTTAGGGAAATCATTCGGGGCGATTTAATCAAATTTTAAAGTTCGGTGTCGTCAATTAGTCGAAAATGTAGACAATGTTTTCGCATTTTACGTTCAATCTACTACTTATTTAACATAACTGATGCTCTTACCTTCCATGTTTCTGAGGATTTCAGTCCTGAAATTGTTGCATCTCTCTCACAATAGCAATATTACTTGGAAGGATAGTCAACGCCTCCTAATAATGATTGTTCACAAAGCGTACCTCGGAGTCTTTTGATTTGAGGTTTCTCTATTCCCATTTCGTTGAAAAAGAGGCTCTAATTACTTGACGTAAGAGACCTTTGCTTGAATGTTAGTCTTTAGCCGAACCGCGAAGCATATGTAAGCGGAATTTTGCTGGGTCAGAAACGTGTTTCTCCTGGGCGGAACAACGCTAATTAATTCAAACTGTGATCTACTGAAATCGACAACTTCGTAAAAACATAACATTGTACTGTGCGCTTGAACTAGAAGTTTCTTCAGTAACCAGCAAGCGGAAGCAGCCCTATATAGATATTTTACAAGAATTGGTTGAAAATTGTAGTTGTAAAAGTATGGACCAAATATCTAATGCAAACCTTGAACTCCCTGCCTGCGGAAAGACCCGCGCCTTGTCGGCAAATCCAACGGATTACTAAAGTACCTTGCTGATCCTCTATAGATGGGTTTGAAATTTTTAGCTCAAATTAAAAGCCACATTTAGGCAGAATTCAGTTGTTATCGATTTCTCTAAAATAAATCGATAATCAGCCAAACGAAGTATGCAGTGCTTTGTTTCACTCTTAGGCCAACCTAACTTGAGAATATGAGCCGAATCGATATTTTGGCTGTTGCCACGTGCACCATACTTTGAAAATATTCGATTTTGGGGCACATTTGCTCTTAAGATCCCAGAGTAGGCCTTACATGTACAGAATTTAAACTTGGACTACGTCGACCGAGTAGAAAAGTTCTATATGTTACGTTTCTGAATAAAGCATACAAATGTTGTTGAAATGATGAATTATCACGAATCGTAAATCCTGACTCTACAGCAATTGAGTTTACATTGACAAAATACGCAAATAGTGACTTTTTTCAATTGCATGTCCTGCCGTTGTCTTTTTTGTGTTTTTGATGTCACGTTATTCATTGATTTCTTTCAGGCTTCAGCTGGTAACTTTACAGGACAATATTTTTGCCATTGGGGGGCTTAGAGATGTTTGCGTCAAAGAACCAGCGATTCCATTCATAGAACGCTTCAGCGGTCAAAGCAACTCTTGGGATGCAACCGAACATCAACCTGCGGTGTGCGATGTCGAGCTGGACTCTTTCTGTGCTGTGTCTACAAGTTCCAGTACTGTTCTTCTTGTTGGAGGCCTGGATCCCAAAACTAGTAGATGCACGTCTCAAGTCAGTTCTTTTGAGCTTAAAGATAAAATCTGGCTCATCGAGCAACGAGAACCTTTGCTCTTTGCCAGGGCAGGTCACTGTTTAGTGTCTTCTGGAGACCGTGTGTATGCTCTTGGTGGATTTCAAGAACCAAACACTCTTGCTATTCGTGAAGGAATGCGAACTGTAGAATGCTATGATCCAGCTAAAGGTAAATATACAGCTACGCTTAGAGGTCATTTGTGGGATGAGTTAGTTTGAATACACAAATAAAACCCTGAACTCACCTTCCTCGTGAAAATAATTGTTAACTCTTAAGCTAAATGAACAAACCTTACTGTGGAATAATTGCCGGTACGAAACCTGGTTTAATGCAAAGGCATCCCTTTGAAGAAAAATTGTATTTAAGAAACTGTTTTACCAAGCGCATCTCAACAATCAGTGGGCATTCTTAGAGACCTCATAGTTCTTCTTAATTTTCTTGCCTTTTAAATTGCATTTAGCACTGAAAATCATAATATGGATATTGATCAAGTATAACTTGCACTTATCAAAGATTGCCATGATGCTATTGAATCCATACAAAAAAGGAGCCTTAAAAATTATATTCCCAAACTTTAGTTATCAACAAGCCCTAGACCAGACAAAATTGTCATTGTTGGTAGATCGTAGGATATTCGTTTGTAAAAACTTGATGGCGGAAATGAGGAATGAAGACCACCCCATATCTTTCTTAGCTCCACAAGCCATGACAAGTTCTATACCTTATCAGTTAAGATCAGGAAATACCAAAGGCACAACAACAATGAAAAGAACAAAAAGAGCAAATGACTATTTTACTTTTAGGTGTTCGTAGACTTAACTATTATTGTAATACTTTCTATAATTATTCTAATTCTTAAGACTTACTATTGTAAATAGACTTTATTATTGGCATCTAGTAAGATTCTTTTTAATATTCTTGTAAAATTACCCTGTTTATTCAGTTTTTTAACTGCCAGAAGTGTTAATAAACTATCATCATCATCATCATCTCTTTCCTTAATCACAAAACGAATCTTTTTCTTTTTCAAACAAAAAATTTATTCATCAAACTAAATGTCTTCACTTTTATCTAGATGCTTGGACGTGCGTTCAACCCATGACTGCAGGAAGACAGTTTTCTGCTGCGGTGACATTGAATGACGACATCTTCATCTTTGGCGGCTATGACGGACAAAAAGTCCTTCGTTCTTGTGAGGTATACAACGTAAAGCTTAACAGATGGCAGCACATTGCTCCGATGCGTTATTCGCGAATGAAACATTCTGCTGTGGCACACGATGGTAAGATCTATGTCATTGGAGGTGTGAGTAACATCAGAAAAGGTTCTGAGATCAGTTCGGTGGAATGCTACATTCCAGAGGAGAACCTTTGGATAAGTGCGCCTGACATGCCCGTTGGAAGATTTGATCATCAATGCTACTTTCCTAACGTTGGTTATAAGTTCCTCGCTTCCGTCCTGGAAGAATCTCAGTAAGGTCCAAAACCTCAGAAACTAACGCAAGGATGATGAAGTAACAGTCGTATTTTTTAATTCTCGTGGAATGCGATGAAATCAAAGAGGGCTTCTCAATTCAACATGCAAAAAACTTATTTGTACGATCAAGAAGTAAACAATTGTATTTTTTTTATTCTCGTGGAATCGATAGAATCAAAGAGGGCTTCTCAATTAAAAATTTAAAAAAAAAGCTAATCGCAAATGCCTTACGGGTTTTAAGGCAACCCCCTGCAATATTCTTAACGCTGGAATGGGTGTTTGTTGTCACTGCTCTTTTATAAAAAGGCTTTCTTGTTCCTTCCAATTACAACACTGATGGAGACTTGATTTGATGATAAATCTTTGACGTAATTCGAAAACGAAAAAGCAGGGATCGATTGATGTTATATCCAGATGATAAGAGATAAATTATGAGTATGATGTAGCGAAAATAGGAAAACTAATATTAACCTTTTTTTTTTTTACCAACAACAATGAACTTTATTAATGTTTTTACAATTAAGAGAAGAACATGTACAACTCGCATATAGCGTACACTAGTCGAGGCGACTTGTTCAGGGAGAAAAAAGAAAAAGAATAGAATAAGTCAATTTGTAAACTTCAAATATCAGACTATGAACTAAACGACATACAATAATATTTGTAAGTGGTAGGTCATATCTCACTTTATCCGGCATAGAAGCGGTAATTTCAATGAAAAGCGATATTTCTCAAATGTGAAAATGATGGAAAGTTGTCCAATAGGTCGCTTCAAGAGAATATAAACTATTTATATTCTCTTGGTCACTATCAACATCAATCAGTAACAATGCTGCGCGAACAAGCCTGAAACGAACTGAAAATGTATTTTTGGTAGAACAGTAGCCTACTTGCAGGCGGAGGTGGTATGCCCCGTAATTTAACGCGGCGAACATATTCGGTCGCCACATTTGACGGGCGGAAGATCTGGGACGAGTGACAAAGCGAGGGGGAGAGGGGAGGAAGAGGGGCAGAAAAAAAATGGTTTTCTTCCCCTTCCCCCTCCCCATCGCTTTGTCACTCGTCCCAGATCTTCCTCCCGTCCAATATGGCGACCGAATATATTCGTCGCGCTGAATCTTGCGCATACCAACTACCGCCTGCAAGCAGGCTAATAGAACAACTCTTTGATTTGTTCATCTAATGTAAATTGCTTTGTGCATAGATGTACATAAATCGCTCTTACTGATCAAAATGGCTTGTATTATCACTGATATAACCAAAAGCGAAAATCCCGAGAGTACACTGCTCAGGTTAACTAACCTTAGCTATAACTTCCACAACCTTCCCTTGCCTCACGGTCGTCTTACATCTTACATGTACTTGGCCATCCAAGCTGCGCGAAGTTACCCTTGCATGTCCGTCACGGCTTTTTTCCTTTCATCACCCTATAGGCTGTCGTGCAAGTTATGCATTTTCCCGAGGGAGGGGTGGTAGCATTTCATAGAGGTTTGAGCAAGCCAAAATCTCTTGATTTGTTGGTGAACCTTGAAAGACATCATATTGTATTTAATAGGATTTTCACTGCGGTTATGCGAACTTGCTTCATTTACGACAAAATTCCACATTTTTGTTTTGATAAACTCTGGGACCGAGGCTGCTATTCTGTTAAGACGAACATACGAGCACTGCAGCTGTATCTCATTCGTCTAGGACGTACACAGTTTCTTGAACAAAGCGATCAATCTTTAATCTTTCTTTACAAAGTAACTCGATATTCCCTTCCGGACAACTGATAATGCCCATAGCTAAAACAATGTCTATAAACGTTTTTGGACGCCGGCCCTCTGCCTTGAGCAATCAGTGTCATTGTTACAGTGAGACTGGCGTTGCTTTGCTTCGGGAATCAACGAGTAGGAGGGTCTTAGATGTCTTCAAGCACGAAGGAGGACAAGAGTATGAAGACACACGCAAAGAGCGGGTTGCGACTACCTTTCGCTGCGATTGTCGCTTTGGCTGGGGTCGTAATAATATTGATAGCAGGGATGATCTTGGTGCCGGAAGAAATCACGAACTTGACAGGCACTGTTTCAGGTATTCAAGTTCTTCTTTTTTTCTCACAGCCTTTACTGGTCTTTGCTAACTGAAGGTATCTATTAGAGGCAAGGCTGCAAACCGTTAGAAAGACGCAATAATCAGAAGGAGCGAAGCACAAAAGTACTTGAAGAATTTTGTGTTTAGTAGCCGCTCTGTAGACAACGGCAACTGAGTGGGTTTGACCTGCTTGTTCCTAATGGAGCTTACTCCTTGACGGGAAAACTAGATCAGCCTCAACCGCTTTAAATTAAGTTTGAACAGATGTTCGATGATAGAAATTCATTTAAACTTAAATTATCTGAAATCATAAAAATTCTCTCATAAGAAATGAAAAAACTCTGAAACACATGACAAAAGAGATCAGCCCAATAAAACTTCCACCAAGTGATGGGCAACTTCTTATCTTTCTTTCTTTCTTTCTTTCAATTTTTTTAAAGCCTCGCGTTCAAAACGATGGCATTTACAAACAAGCTGATAAGAACACAATGTTAGACAAATTCCACACAACTCAATCAAATTGCTAGTTCGCTAAAACCAATAACTTTCTGCCGTGAAGATCTTTGTCCGCTCGCCAAATTGGCTTTAACGGCTGCTAAACTCGTCATGTTTGGGTCTAACGAAAATATTTCCCCTCGTCCTCTCCTTGGGTATCGTTTAGAGACCTGAAACAACAGCGAGCTTTTTTTTTGTTTAAAAACAAGACGCTTATAGCAGGCTTACAGAAGGAGTTTTAATTCATCTGACCTTTCGTTGGTACAAAGCCAAACTTAGGTGAGATCAAAAACATCGATCTCAGGTGTTGACACCTTTCCGCTCTCAAGCGCGCCAGAAAGCATATTTTTTGACAAAAGTGATTGCTGAGACCGTGAATCATCTAATTAGCACCTGGGGCGCTGATGGAAAGTTGAAGATAATAAGAGGAACGGGGTGGGAGGGGTGGGAGGGGGGGCTTTATTTGTTTATGGGAGTACAAAGCTGGTCCAAACGCGTAATAGCGTCACAGTCTGTGGGCGTTTCTTATCTTAATACAAACTGAGACAAGTGCAGCTGATAGAAATGTGCAAGGCCGCACAACAGTTATTGAACATGACCAATATTTTTTACTTTCTTGAGGGTATCTTAATACTCGTTCAATGTGATAGCAAGGAAAAGAGGAAAGTGCAAATTTGATGGGTGCTAATTTTGAATTTGGCTTATTAGCGAGGGGAGTAGGGGGAAGAGGATGAGCCCTTTACCGCGGGTAGGCGTTACTTTAAGGTTGTACTACTTGATTTTGATTTAGGTGACGTCAATAGCGATGATAACAAAGTATGGGATTCCAACCCCCTGATTGAGCACGCATCCACGCATGTAGAAGTGGCTAAAGGAAGGCACAAGCGTTCGTCCACAGCTTTGAAAAAAAAAGTACAGCAATGTAAGCCTGGCGGTAAGTACAACTTCTTAATGAGGATAGCATCCACTTTTTAATCGTTAAAATAACTCTTCCGCTTTGTTTCTTCTTGTTCACTTTCCATCTCGCTAATTGGAGATTTTTATTTGATTAAGTCATCTAATCGGTTGTTAAGGTTCAATTTGGCAAGTTCTGTTGGCATGTCTCATGGTTGAATTCTTCAGCTAATATCTTTTAACCATTTGTCTTAGTATTATTTCATTTATCCTTCTGCAGGTCGATGCGAGGAAAATAGAATTTCTCTCTGCAAGAGATCAGCGAATGACTTGGTGATGTTCCCAAACCGTCTAAAGCACCGAACACAAGAGGAGGCCATGGAATTTCTTTCAAATTTTGAAACGCTTCTCAACAACAACTGCTCTCCCTTTCTCAGATATTTCCTGTGTTCTCTTGTGGCACCTTCCTCTAATGGGTTCGAAAGGCCTACTCCACCATGTAAAGAGCTCTGCATCAAGGCAATAAAGCCATGTAGACATCTTTTGAAGAAGTTTGGACTTAAGTTGCCACCTGCCATGCGATGCTCCCGTTTACAACGACAAGGCGCATCAAAGTGCTACAATGGACCAGAAGCTTCCAAATGCCTTCGAACGACGGTGGATCTTTACAAAAAACATCCATGTGCTGCATACGTTCCTCCTTCATCTCTTCAGTTTCCGAACTACTTTGGTCATATGGACGAAAAAACAGCTAGTGATAGCTTTAAAAAGTTTACACGAATCCTCGACATATCCCTACATGATTGCGCGATCCTCTTATCTCGATTCCTGTGCAGCCTATACGGTCCTACTTGCAGGAAAACGATTTTTCCCATTCCCCCTTGTAGAGAACTTTGCCAACAAACCCGGAGACGATGTCAACGGGTCTTTGATGACCTTCGGTTTGGATGGCCCCTAAATCTTAACTGCCAACAATTTCCAAGAAAAGGAGAAGCACCTTGCTATGACGGACCTTCAACTGGAGTGATGGCAAAGCCGCAACCAGGTATTGAATAAAACGGTTTGCCATTGCAAACCTAAAGGTCTGATTATTTAAACAAACGTTAGCCGTTGTTTAACAAAACCGCGTCCTAACAATCCTCAATTTAGCTGAACCTTTTATCTGAAAGTTTATTTTTATTAAGTGCAAAGAGGACCGAAAGCTAACAGTGCAAGGGCATTTATTTACTAAAAATCAACCCTCTTATGTAGAAAGCCTTAGGCCCACTGATTGCGTAAAACCACTGTTGTGATGATTAAAAGATGTACCCAGAAAGGGTAGCCCACAGACTTAAGTAGCTCCAAACGTCGAATCCAGAGCCCTATTGACAAATCAAGACGTTTTTGTAATCACGAATCATTCTTCCAAAGCTTACGTCCTAAATCATATGGAAAACGAATCAAAATCACAATTAATTTTATTAGTCATTGGCATTTTATAACATCTGAAAGAATCGTTAAGACCAGTACTTTCACACACTGAGAGATATTTACCAACTTTTTAAAGACTTTAGTCAATTTCTCATCTTTCTATTTGTTTTTCCACATCAGGCAAATGTCAACCTTTGTCTATTCCTTTCTGTAAGAACGTACCCTATAACATGACGACATTTCCGAACTTCCTCATGCACACAACGCAGGAAGATGCTTCTCTCGAAGTTTATCAACTTTGGCCACTTGTTGACAGGCAATGTTCACGTGATGTGGAGTTCTTCTTTTGCTCTTTGTACGCCCCGATCTGCACCATTCTAGACACACCTCCTTTACCGTGCAGGGAGCTCTGCCTTCGAGTTAAGCGTGGGTGTGCTGTGGTACTGAAGGTCTATCGAGGAGGATGGCTTTCCACGCTGGCATGCGAAAAGTTTCCGCTTGGGGATAGTGGAGAGGTGTGCGTTGACAGACCCCAGGAAACCAGCCGACTTGCAATTTCACAATCAGAGCAAAGGAAAGGTGAGATGGAACCTTATAACATTAGTAGAAAGAAAAAGGCCACCCTCGATCTCCCATTGATGAGCTGTTTTCTCGTGTGCTTAGTTCTAAATTCTGGTAAATTCGACTCAAGCGAAAGGTTTTGAACTTAATTAGCGGAGGGTTCAGAGATAGATCAAAGATGATTAATTGAGTTATGTAGTTAAATGGGAAAAGGCTAAATACCGATGACTGTAAATCCCCATCAGAGCGATTTTTTTTTTTAACTCATCAAGCACCAGGTACGAAGGGTATCACATTGCTATTGACCCTTACTGAATATTTGTCTGTGATACCATTCTTCATTATATCCTTTCAGGGAAGTGTGAGGCGTTAACTGCACCGATGTGTAAAGATCTCAACTATACCATGACAATGGTTCCTAACTTGTTCAATCATACTACCCAAGAACAGGCCACTTCTGAAATTCATCCTTCGTTTTATTTTGGTTTGCGTTGTCACGAGATGGCTCTTTTCGTATGCACTCTTTATTTTCCTCCTTGTGGAGTGCCATACCAGCCTTGCAGAGAGCTTTGTGAGCGAGTGAAACGTCGAAGTCTGACTACCTTTGAATGGTATGGCTACCCTTGGCCAGAGGATATCGATTGTGACGAACTTCCCTCGGCAAGGAATGACACCGACTGCATTGGAGCTTCAACAGCCATTCCACCAACATCTCAACGCAAATATTGTTAAAACCCAATTGTAGTCTTTTGTTTGGCTGGTTTGTCTTTGACGATCCACTTTCATCTTCTCTTTCCTTGACCAACCTATTTCTTTGTCAATTAACTGTTGCAAGCGTCGAGTTTTTTTTTTGTCGCGAAAATGATCCAATAATCCTTTATGGAGGTTCGCATTTTGACGCCTTGACGGACCATTCTTTTCACTCCTTTCGTTGCATGAACTTTTTCAACACAACTTAGAATGACATTTACACGCTTACTTTATTATTAAAGCAGCCGATGATAATTTGACAGACTTACAGAATCTCTGACTAATTGTTATTATCGCAATTTTCTATCATTCGAACATCTCTCTAACGTGCCCTTTTTTTTCTTGCACCAGGGCTACATGCATCAGAGTTGATTGTGATTTGTTGGACCAAATTACGGCGTTTTAATAAAAAATAAACTACAGAACAAAATCTAAAACTTTCCCGTTGAAAAAAATCGGTAAATTCTGTCCCCTTTACCGCTGGGTAAACCGTGAAAACAAACACTAGACAAATTATCGACAAAAACGTAGCGGTAATTCAGAAAGGAGAGTAAACAAAATTTTTCAGTCTAATTTCGGCACAAAAAAAAATACATTTTCAATTTAAAAATTAGGACATACATTCTTTAATTAAAGAGAGAGGGTAGACCACCATCTATAACACAAAGGTATTGTCTTTAACCGGTGCAAATTCGTGAATCGGTCTGAAAACGCCAAAAGCACGCACAATTCCCCCATAAAAGTTCAAAGGTTACCGCCACAAGCTTTCCGTATCTCGCACAGCAAAAATAAACCCAAATTGAAGCCAAATCATAAATCACACGTGTTTACTTTTGAAATGAAAGTTGTAATTATTTCTCTCCTTATCAATTCTTGGAGTTTTTCCAGATGGCTTATAACTTAATCCCTTGTCGATTGCTTGAAAATTCTTTCTTGATGATTCAGAAAGTCATTTAAAGGATGCAATCAGCCATCTATTTTTTTAGTAACATTAAAAAGACGAACGTGTCCAAGAGGTTTCCGTTATAAAAGTACTTTTAAAAAATAACTAGAGGACGTTGAAGCCACAAAGGCATAAGTCGAAAAATACTGAGCATTCCCACCCTTGACTACCTTTGATCGAGAGTGGCTAACCAGGCCCATAATCAAATACATCAGTCGTGGTATTCATTTGCAAGTGGCATGCTGTACAAGAAAACGTACAACAAAGCAAAACAACAGAAAGATAATACCGCTGCCAATTGCTCTCTCTCAAAACAATATAGTAGATGAATCAAGATTGATAATAAACTTCACACAGCGTCATGGTATTTTAAAGTGACCGTCTACGCAACTTAATAAAACGTGACAATGCAGAAGCAAATTAACAAATCTGGAAGAAACTACAGTGTTCTTTCCTTTAGGCAATACAACAGGGCATCTCATGGCATCGGAAAATTTACCTTTATGTAAGTCGAGTGGTCTATCAAGCTAGCAGGCTATCAGCGAGGTCACATATGGAACACATCATTGGCAATAGTGACGACAAGTCTGTAACTAGATCTGTTTTTTAGCCAAATGTTTATCGGCTTATCGCGCTTATGACGCAGAAAAAGCATTTTAAGAGCGGAACAGCCCAAATCTGAGAAACGAAACGAGCACATGCTTCTTTTGACGAAGTGAGAGTCCCAAGTACTCATGATGTCTTCGGAAAAGTCCAGTAAGCCAGAGTCTAAGATCTGCACTAGGCGACTGCTGTTCGCTGTGATTGTTTTGCTAGCTGGAGTGGTAGTAATTCTCACTGCTGGTGTCATCGTGATGGAAGAAGAAATCAGAACCTTGAGGAAAAATGTTGCAGAGTATCAAACATGGAAAGGTAGAGATAGTTGTGATTTTTTTTGAGATAGTTTCTTCCTAAAAACATAGACAATCAACTTATCAAATCGCCAAAGAGTGGAGACCGGGTCATTTTTCATGTTAGGAGACTCTTCTCGATTTCTTTAGCAATTCACTGATAAAACTGGATTCTCTACAGTGTCATGTCAGGTCTTGCAAATACACGCAAAAGGTAAAGTTCAATTTACTCTATGGGAAATATATGTTCAACAGCTAAGTTTTGTTCGCAGGATGTCCCGTTCGGCGTTTCGCGGTTTCATACGTAATAGAACTGCTTTCGCCGCGAGTTGAGAAAGGAGATACTTCAGCGACAACATGACTTTCAAGAAAGCTTGTAGCCCCCCCCCCCCCTCCAACCCTCCAACTACCAATCGTCAATATACCAGTAGATAAACCATTAAACCAGAATGCGCCCTACCAAACAATGGGTCATCCTCGGTGTAAAAACCCAACGAGGTTTTCTTTGTTTCATGAGGTATTGTTTTGCTGTACGCTATTGTTTATAATGTTTTGTTGTCTTTCTTTTACGTCACTCTTGAGCTTCACAGGTTTTTATACCGAGGATGAGCTCAAACAATATATTCTGCCACTTTGAAAGATAAATGCTATCCGATATCTCTGGTGTTCGGCCACCACAGGTATCCCAAGCTCACGTCTCGAGCAAAAGCGAAGGATTATTTCAGGAAAGCGTCACGCGTTGTGTGACGCGGTGTTAAGTTACGCGAGCAACCGTTGAGTATTTGAATGCGTTATAAGGAAGTTGTATGGGGAACAAAATATGGTCCAATTAAAAACACTCAATATTCCGAAATGTGAACATTTTACACGTTAGATTAATCAAACTTACTCATTCCTTGCGTGTCCGTTGTGTTTTTTTGGCGATTTCTGTCGCTTTGGCTTACTTCACCATCACTGTTTTTCATATTATCAGACGAAGTCAACTTGACCATATTTTGTTCCCCATACTATTCCTTATAACGCACTCAAATTCTGAACGGTTGCTCGCGTAACTCAACACCGCGTCACAAAACGCGTGACGCTTTCATGAAATAATCCTTCGCTTTTGCTCGAGACGTGAGCTTGGGACACCTGTGCCGCCACCAACTGTCTGTGAAGGAAGGCAAGGCTCGTCTGTCTGTTCAGGATTGTAGTGTGTACAATGGCATCACTTGAATTGATCTATGCTTCAATATTGAATGGAACATCTAGGTTCAATACACGTTTTTCAGTATTTGGTTAAAATTCAGCTATTTAGTCAATAATTAAAAATGCCACAAGTGATTATTTTAGCGCATCATTAGGCATGTTTCTAGATATGCCGCTAAGATGCTTTATGGCCAAAAAATTACAAAGGCATTTTTCGCCTTCTAAGCATGTCATATGCAACCACCGATAAGGGAAACGCTGTACAAACTGTGTAGGTATTTCCGCCCTAAAGGATGTGGTTCTTGAGTCGTCTCAATCTATTAACGGTTGGAGGATGCCCATTATGGTGTTATATCCGGTATGATTTTTATTAAGGGACTACAACGGCACTTAAACGTATCCTCTTTTTGATGAATTTTTACTTATTCTTGACTCGGCACTGGTCCAAAGTCCAGCTGCATAACAAAACCATCGAATCAAAGATATTCAGTTTGTGCCTGAAACAACGTTCAGTATCGTGTATTTATTATATAGATAATGATGAAATACCAGGATTTCTCCTTTTACTAAAAAATCATATCTTCACCGCGGGCAGTAAAGATACTATTTTTATCTTTCACGTGTGAGGATATCGGTGTGGCCATGGTGACCAACATAATTACCCAATTGCTGTTTCGAAAATGAATAAAAAAAGTTGTCTTTTATGTAGAAATTTCATCAGTATCTATATAATAAACAGAACATTACATGGCCGCTTGGGGATACGAATTTTATCTTCGAGTGGTGCTGAAAGTATCTCTCACTCGTTCGCTGCGCTCACTCGTGAGAGATACTTTCAGCACCACCCGAAGATAAAATTTGTATCCCCAAGCGGCCGTGTAATATCCTCTATTTAGACTAGGAAATAAACAACGCGATCTCTCCCGCTTTGTGGGGAGAAGGGCTTTGTATTACAAGACAAAAACAGCGACTGCCAAGTCAGACTAAAAAGTCAACAAAAGAGCGACATGTTTTCTATTCATAACAATTTTAATTTTTGTCTTTTTGAATTCTTTAAGTTGTCGGTCTTTTGTACGGGTCAGTTCGAGTCAGCGCTGCTAACCTGCAATGCACGCGTCGTATCTGGTCGCATTAGCGTTACAACCTCGCGATCGTTCAGTATTCGATTTAGAGTTTAAGTGGACGGTAGGGGGAGGGGGTGGGGAAAGTCATTGCCTCGCCCCCTCCCTTTTTCTTCGTTTTGACTGTCACTCGACCTCTTACAGGAAATTCATTCCCCTTCCCAGCCTACCGCTTCCGTAAAAATCAAATATGGCAAGTATAGCTTCTGTGCAATCGCCTCCGCCGTCAAAATTACGCCTGGTCAGCAGGCTTCAGCTCAGGGAGCAACCATGATAGCTTAACAACTGAGTACTATATCTGCATCGCAGCCGGGTCCTTGACGTCTCCTCTTGACGAAGAAGTTTTCTCTGAGGATTTTTATGATCCCTTTAACTCCCAAATTTTGATTCTAAATTATCCACTTACAGCTGCTACACATTTCCTTTAAAATCATTCCCAAGAATTTGGTGTTACATCAAGATACCAACTTCTACCTGATAAGTTTGTGTATTCTCATTACTTTTTTGCGGGGTTAATGTCTGAATATTATGAGGAGAAATTTCTTTTTAATCGCTTCAGGGACCGAAAGGATTAACTGACACTTTTTCGTTGTGTTGCAGACGAAGATGGCGACAAAAGGTCAGCTTCCGGTCCCTTGGCTGAGAGCAGTTCTTCCCACGAGGAGTTTTCCAAAAGGAAACGCGTTCGGCTTTCAAGATCTAAGCAAAGTATGAAATGCATAGTTTAAAAGAAAGGGTTGATTGTCTTCATTCAAGAGGAAAACATATTAACTAGAATTATACCTCGATGGATATGACGCGTTGTGAGGATTTTCTTTTTTTTTTTTTTTTTTTTAGATTCATTCTCCCTTTAGTGTTAAGATGTTTCGTTTTTTTTGAAGTGTTTTCCCGAAATCGGTACCAGTGTCGGTCTCTGGAGTGGATGTGTGGTGGCCTGGGGGCTAGTGCGCTCGACTCCGGATCGAGTGGTCTGCATTCGAGCCCTGGCCGGGGACATTGCGTTGTGCTCTTAGGCAGGACACTTTACCTTCACAGTGCTTCTTGTCACCTAGGTGTTTAAATCGGTACCGGCGAATTTAACACTGGGGGATAACCCTGCGAAGGACTAGCATCCCATCCAGGGGGAATAGAAATACCCCTGGTTGTCTCACGCTACGGAAACCGGAGTTTAGGGTTGGTCTGATGGGCGGCTTGGCTGGTATACAGACATTTTTTTTCGGTCTTAAGGGAAATTGTTCCTTTCGTTTCTTCCTGTCCTCGTGCATCTCTTGATTACCTCCAGGAACCGGTTCTGATGAGTTATTGATGTCATGAAAAGCTTAAAAAGATCATACCGGTATAAGAAGGCCCGTTTTGTGATCTCCTCAACAAAAATTTTCAACCAGCATGAAAACATTTTTAGCAAAGGGTGTTGTTATCTGCAGTTTGACTGGGTAATAATTTACTTTAATCGCCCCACAGGTCGTTGTGAGTCAATAAGGATTCCAATGTGTCGAAATATGCCCTACAGCTCCGCGCAATTTCCAAACCTTCTCAATCACCAAAGCCAAGATGATGCAATTGCGTTGGCAAACGTGCTGGGTCCTCTGGTTAAAAGCGGGTGCTCCTCATCCATAGAACATTTCCTGTGTTCGGTTCTGGCACCTCCCTGTGGTGGGACCCAGCAACCCATGCCTCCCTGCAAAGGACTTTGTAAGCGAGCAACAAGGAGTTGTAGGGACCTCCTTAATAAGTTTCAGATAACCTTAGATCCCTCCATGAGGTGCAAGAATTTGCCAAAAGAGGGAACATCAAAGTGCTTCAACGGATCATGGCCGAGGGGCACAAACACACCAAGTCCAGGTTAAAGACTCGTTATTTAACCTCTTCCTTTTCTTAAATATCATTTCCTGTTCTAGGTAGAAATAGCAAGCCTGAGAATTCTTTGCCAAAAATGTTGCTAAGGTAAAGGGGATTCCTCTTTACTCCTTAATCCTTTAATTTCCAGAAGTGATTAACATGTAACTTCTCCAATTTATTACCAATACATTGTCCAGCAAACATGTAATGAGAATGTTTAAACTTATTAGGTAGAAGTTGTTACCTTGATCTAACACCAGATTCTCAAAGCTAATTGGCAAGAAAATGTGTAGAAGCTAGAGGGGAGAATTAACAATCAGATCTTAGAGTTAAAGAGTTTAAATCAAAGGTCGAGCTAAGAGACCACTTTTTATTCTACAGCCTTAACTCACACAACTACGAATTGCCGACCAGTAACTCATCAGTGCAACCGTTTCCTACCTCATAACTGGCAGGCACAGTTCCCAAACTACTTCGGTCACAAGGATGAAACAGAAGCTTCCGCTAACTATAAGAAGCTCGAGGGACTTCTTCGAGTTTTTGACAAGGACTGCTCTGCTATTCTATCTACCTTCCTTTGCCCACTTTATGTACCACCTTGCAGAAATACCAAACACCCATCACTACCCTGCAGAGAGTTCTGCCTTAAGGCTAAATCACAGTGCAAACGAGAAATACGTTTGTCCAAGCGAGCTAGTCTTCGATGGCACTCGTTTCTTAAGTGTAAGAACTTCCCTGGGAAAGATGAAGGATCTTGTTACAATGGACAGATAATACCAGAACCGACCACACAGCTGCAGCCCACAGTTCCAGGTACATTGTAATGAAGGCTATTAGCTGAGTAGACTTTAAACCCAGACAAACAGTCGATCGTTTAACGTGACTACTTCACTTTGACCGCCCTGACAGTGCGTGTGATTTCCGCCCAGGTTGTCGAAATGCCAGCCTCTATATCGTAAATCACACTACACAGTAAAAAGTAGTTTCAGTGCAAACCTGCGACAATTTTACGCCGCCCAAAAATCGCTAAAATTTTCCCTGCAAAAAAAAGTCCAGAGTTTTTCCAAATCAGCGCGTAACAGGGTTTTTAATCAATATCTCAATTTTAAGTTTTGGTAACTTGTCTGCTTGAAACACCCGGCCTGAGAATTCTCTATTATTATTATTATCATCATCATCATCATCATCATCATCATCATCATCATTATCATCATCATCATCATCATTATCATTATCATTATCATTATCATTATTATTATTATTATTATTATTATTATTATAATACACAACATATACGCCCGAGATTTCTGGGAGCGACAGAGATATGCATTCTTTGATGTTCGGGTATGCCACCCAAATGCAGAATCCTACCGTGAAAAGACTCCCGAGCAAGTTTACTAGCAGCATGAGAGTGAGAAGAAACGTCAGTATGCCAACAGGGTCATGGAAGTCGAACAAGGAACTTTTACGCCTTTAATATTTAGTACAACAGGTGAAATGGGCACAGAATGTAAAATATACCATAAACGTTTAGCTGAGTTAGTATCAAATAAGAAGGGAGAGAGCTATGCAAGCACCATGTCATGGATTAGAGCCAAGGTGTCATTTGCGCTCATTCGTTCAGCTTTGCTATGCCTGAGAGGATCACGATCCATCAGAAGAACCCTCGATATCATCGACTTGGACTTCTCCCTCGACAACGCTACCGCCTGTCCAACGTAGTTTTGTGAATTTTACCAAGTTTA